TCCTCACCCAAGGATGTTTTCCCACTGATATTTAGAGAGAGTGGAAGGGAGGGGGAGAGTCAGAAACATCAATGTGAAAGAGACACATCGTTTGGTTGCCTTCCGCATGCGCCCGATCAGGGCTGGAGATTGAGTCTGCAACCCAGGTATGTGCCCTTGACTGGAATTGAACTGGGACCCTTCAATCCATGGGCTGGTGCTCTATCCACTGAGCCAAAACAGCTAGGGCTATTTTTGACATTTTAAATGGTTGTAACAAATGAAAAGAATATTTCCTGATACATGGAAATGATATACAATTCAAATGTCAGTGGCTGTAAAGCTTTACAGGAATACAGCCATACCCTACATGACCTGCCCCGGCTACTTCTTCAACTTCAATGACTGCAGTGCTGGCCTCCACTTTCCTTATTCCAGTCATACTGGCCCCTGGCTAATACCCAAACACTTGAGTCACCTCCCTGCCCTCACCATAGCCATTACACCATGGTGGACTCTGCCTTCCTTACTTCCTTCAGGAGTCTGCACAAATGAAACTGAATCAGAGAAGTCGTTCCCACCCATTAATCTGTTTCTGCTCTCCTTGCTTAATTTTCTTCAAGGCACTAACACCCTGAGTTGTTATAAATTCGTATAGTGTCTGCCTCCAACCACACTTGGAATATAAGTTCCATTACACTTGAATTGTCTTATTTCCTCCTGCATTCTCAGCACTGAGATCAATGCTGAGACATAGTAGATATTCAACAAAAAATGAATTGCCAAATACTAAAAAGTTCTAATGAGAGACAAGGGAGAGATGATCTAGGACACCACAACCACTCAAGGCTTTCATGGTGCAGTGGGGACCTCCGAGTGTGTTTGCTTTATAAAGTCCTAGTATCTTGGTAGAGACTAAAACTAGTGGCAAAACAGAGAAAAGTGGAGTTGCTACCATAAATGCAACCAAAAAAGAAATGTCTCATCTCACCTCAACTTAATGACATCCCAGTTATGCAGATTCCCACCCTCTCTGCTAATCTCAAGTGGTAGAAAAGAGTTAAACTTAGAAATGTACTCAGAAACAATCTTACTGTCATTTGTGTCTCTATTTCCCTAGTACCTTGAGTTAATTGTGAAAATAAAAAATGTACCTGGGAGGTTCAGATCTTATGTCAAGTTCTACATAGAAGCATCCATGTGTCCAAATACTATATTTTCATTCCATAAATTGTTTTTATAAACCTATCCCAAGAGGGGTTCCATAATGGAAGTTGTGCAATATTTAGCTTTAATGTTATTTTTTCTAGAACCCTTAGGGGTCTAGAGTAAAGATTTATCTACAAGTCCAAATCACGTTTTTAAATTAAAAAATAAGTCATACAAAAGTAGTACTATATTCAAGATATAAGATGTAGGTAGTTCTACTGTATCCTAAATACCAATAATATGCTATAGTGATATAAAAGCTTCAACCACTAGTTAAAGGTGACTACCTAGGATAATATGTCGGTGTATAGAAGCATATAATTCAACACATTCAATGATAAGGTCATAAATGAAGAAATTAATGGAAAACATTTCAAATGTCTTTTATGCCAAAGACTGTGCCTGATAGAAAATTGGACAAAAGCTTGTTGGGCCATTTGACTAAGAACAAAGTGAATGGACTTTCCTGTGAATGACTCTGGAAGTGGGATAGGGATGGGGAGTCAGGATGAGTCTGCTTCCTGGAGTTAAATATGAAGAGTGCACCTCAGTCCTTGTTATTCAATTCACTTTAGAGAAAATTTCCAGAGAAGGCAAGTGATACAAAGTTTATGAAGTCTTGTCAGCCATGTAGCTTTCTCATGAAAGTTGTAGTTAACCCACATCCCGTGGATCTTGGACATATTCCAGTCTTATGTAGAATTTGAATGACTACAGCACCCAGCAATATTCTTAAGAAAGGGGGGGCTAAAAGGAAGTATGGGGGAGAAGGAAACAAATTTTGCCAGAAAAGAGTTGGGAAAGCCTACCATGACCTGGAATTATTTCTTCATCACTCTATTGATATGTCTGCATTAGTAACTTTGAAAAGATTTATGGAAGATGGCTTCCCCTAGTAGTGTATCAAATATACCAGAAATAGTGCTGGCCAGAATGTGAATGACAGGACAGTGAGGTTTTTATTTACCAAATGCCCAGTGTATCTACACTATTGTACTCAGGACTGTCACATACATATATAGGTCTATGTGGATGGAGCTTCCTAGAGTACCCTGCGCAACTGTATATGACTATGATATCTGTATAAAAAAGCTGAAGAAAATAGACACAGAAATAGATCTCACATCTAGATGGTTAATCTGGTTATATTACTGAATAAAAAAAGGCATTGGGTTAACCTTATTTCTAGAAGAAAATGTGTTTTGCTTAGATTGAGAAACTTAGCAGCTAAATAGTATTTACAGATTGGAGTTGAGATTTTCAAACATATTTATCTCAGTTCACAAATTCCATGCACTGCTTACCCCAAACAGCTCTCTTGAGTACAAGTGGCATGGGTAATGAAATTTGGATGCCATATATTCAAATGGCATTAAGCACAGTTGTCCAAGGTATTAGCAGCTGTTTACATGGTTGCTACAGAAAAAAGTATTCACAGATTCATGTAACTATAATAGAGGCAACTGTATTCTAAGCTGGAAAAAAACAACAACAGGAGAATGTTTAAGACCAGAAAGTAAGGACTATGGGGGAGTATGGGGGAAGGGTAATTTGGGAATAGACTGGCATTGCCATCCATTCTGGAAAAGAGGTGGTTAGAAGAGGGGAGGGTGGAGAGAAAAACCTTCTCCTGGACCTACTACTGAGGAGGACCCTGAAAATGTTGTATAATAAATAAAACATATTCATCTCAAAAAGCAAAAAATAAAATTCATATCCCAGTGTCCAAACCACTACTATCCTGAATATGCTTTCATACTAAACTTTGATTTAAACAAGAGGAACATTAACACTAAGAAACATATTTATTTCTTTTTAGATTTTCTCTTAAGAAAAAGTTGTAAGGGGAAGGACAAGTATTATAAACAATACTAGAGGCCCAGTACATGAAGTTCACGCATGGGTAGGGTCCCTAGGCCTGGCAGGTGATCAGGGCCGATCGGAGCTTTCCAGCTGCTGGTTGGTGCCTTCCTTCCAGCTGCCAGCAGGGGCCTTCCTTTGTTCCATGCCGCCCCCTGGTGGTCAGCACACATCATAGCGAGCAATCAAACTCAGTCTCTGGTCTAACTCCCGAGGGGACACTTTGCATATTAGCCTTTTATATAGAGAGATGATAAACCTCCTTATCCTTCCCTCACCACTCAGTCACATCTATACCAAAACTTCTGTTTAACTATAGGCAATCTTTACTTAACATCAGACATATTTAATTTAGCTGGGGATTGGGTGAATATAAGCTGAATATATGTAGCTTTACTTTTTAAAGGAAATTATAATATATATGAATAAAATCATTAATATTAAGCATATAATGCTGCATCTTCCATGTGGAAGAACATGTTTTCTGTCACATGCAAATTCAACTGCTTTCCTCTGTTGCCCCATTAAATGAGTTTCTGTGGTAGCAGTAAATTTGAAACTTTTAAAACCTCACTGTGCCCAGGGCAACTAAAGAATTATTGGTATCTGTGCTCTTTAAGAATTGAGCAACCTCAAGAACAGTACTTAATTACAACAAATCAGTCTCTTCCTGTCCCATCAAATACATTGATGTTTTCAAAGTACAATGGGAACATTTTAAAACTCCATGCAATAATACTGGGGTGGGGGTGGGGGTAAAAGTGCAACTCCATTAACTCAGCACATCTAAACCTGAGTTTTGTGCATGTAAGAAAAAGCTGAACAGTCTGAAAAGTCTTACTTGCTTCAAACAAGTCAGATTTTTCCTCTCTCCTATTAAATAGGCTCAAAATTGGATTCCTTTCCACCTGGCATTGAAGTCCAACATGGAGGCTGGTGGCAATGAAGGGGAGCTGAGTAACGGTGACCTATCCCATGTGCATTTGGAATCTGGAGATTTAGAAAAGTGTAAACGGCTGGACAAGGTGTCTCTCTACCCCTAGCACAGAGTTCACCCTTTAAAGATATACTGCATATCTGTTTATGTACTGCATGCTTATCTGTGCTTTATACATAACAAGAATAAGACTTTCAGCCCCAAGGACCAATTTCCCCTATTAGGGGCACCTTCACCCCTGGTAAAAATGCATGTCTTAACAACAGCTACAAAAACTCAAGGCCACATTTGATTGATTGCTCTCAGCCAGAAATTCCTAAATCAATAATGATTTAGCACTGCTTCAGTTAAAACAATTATATCAGAATCATTTTCAAAATAAAAAGCAAAACATATATGTTCTATGAAATACATAAAACATATTGCTCAGTCAGTAACATCCCAGTTTATTTATTTTTGCATTATCCTCAGTCTATTGGGCTCTATCTAATGCTTGCTTGTAGAATCACAGATTCAATTACTGTTGAATTTTACACGTTTCAAAGAGCAAAAAACTAAATTAACTTCCAAGAAAATATTTTTCTAGATGGTGGCAATGAGTAATTTGGAAAACCAGATAGAAAACTTCTGTGGCAAACACATAGGTTTCCATCGACAGAAGTAATGAACTAACTAAATTAACTAATATTTGGTGCTCACAAACAACCTGAATATAAATGGCCACAAAGTTATGTGTCACAAAAATAAGTCAGTGCTTCATTAGGAAATCAAATCACTATGCCATCCACATATAAAATTGAGGGGAAATTTGCCCATTTGAAAAGATTCCAGAATATTTGTTCATATTCTTTTACATCCCCAAAACACCCCTCAGCATTTTTAAACACGCATAGCAAGAATCATAGGATGCCTAAGAAACAGAACACTCATTAACAAATGGAGGATGCAAAAAAGAAAAGTCTTCCATGTAAGCCAATAAAAAATCTACATCATATTAAAACATAAGCTCACCTACCTTCATTGATCCATGTTCATCACTGGAGTCTTGCACCAATTGCAGATAAAACATCATGAAAATATTCACCACTGCCCACTGTCTGTACATTTTGAACACTTTAATACCCACTGATTACCAAGTAGTTGACAATAGATAGCTAGAGAAAACTGTTTCAAAAGGCATTCTCCAGAAGGAAAGTTCGAAACCCCAAGATTTCACATGGAAAAACAATCAGTTGTGATAAAAATCCAATGAAATGATTAGTCAAGGTACGTTTTTGCACAATCTTATGCAGATAGAGAGATGAAAAATTTTTTAAATGTTCTCATGCTCCAAGAATAATTAGGAGGTGGACATGTTTTCCCTTGCAATGAGAAAGCACTTTAAATCCATTTCATGCCCAGCAATTTTTTTAAAAAAATCTCTCTACCCTATGCCCCAAGTTCTAGCTGCTTTATAAAGAGGTGGAGTGGCCACCAATGTTTGCAGCTACAGAAAAGCTGGAACCCAATTCTGGATTCCAACTCTTTTCACAACCCTCATGGAAGCTTGCAGGAGCATGTGTCTTAAATCTGACACAGATTTTGGCAGAATATGCAGGGAAGTCTTGGCTGTAATCCTGTCACATCCCTACCAATAGCAAGGATGTTTTAAAAACTGACTCAAATGCTTAGGACTGCTGTTATTTTAACGCAGATAACCTGTAATGTGAAACCTCGGCACATAGGCATGACTCCGTATTGAAAATTGCAGTGCTCAGTAATGGACCTCAGATGCTCATGAGGCATCAACTGCTAGTGACACACAGAAGCAATCAATTATGCTTTAAAATCGCAGACATTCACAAAAATAACAAAATATCCATACACACAGGAAAAACAAACATACATAAAATGAAGAATACTGATTTTTAAAGAAGCAACAGTTAGGTTTATTTGTATGTGCCAGGAAACATCTCATGTACATTGCTATAAAAACCATGCTGTCACTGTTGGTTGGAATTCTTCAGATGCACTGGCTAAGTCAGCTTTGGAAACTGAATGCATTGACTGAATGGATGTGACAAATGCAAAATTTCAGAAAGCATTGAGACCTGCTCTTGTGCTTGCTCTTCACTAATTTCCAATCTTTGACTTCCAGGTTTTGGCTCTTTCAAACCCATTTTTTGCATTTCTGAAATCAAGAATGGCTTGAGAAATCTCTTCATTGGTGTTCATCACGAATGGACCTAAGGCAGAAAGAGACATTCAGAGGGTTCTGGGTGATGATAGCATGTTCTTTTACCACTAGAAATGGTTAACTTGAAACAATTCCAGGCATATCTGAACAGTAAAAGGTTATTTTCACAGCATCCAATCTCCGAGGATGGTAGCACACGTTTCTTGACAAGGTTTTTCTTGATAAAGATCGAACTTGAGATAAACAAAGGCAATTACATCTCATTCATCCATTGCAAAGTTGTCATCAACAATTGCAGTCCCTTTATTCAAAATATTCTTAGGTTTGGTTCTATTACAGTCATTTTGTAGTTGTTAGGCTTTTTTTCTTCCTTATTTTTGGAGATATAATTGACATGCAACATTATATTAGTTTCAGGTGTAAATATAATGATTTTAAATTAGTATATATTGTAAAATGATCACCACAATAAATCTAGTTAGTACCCATTTTTTCTTGTGATGAGAATTTTTAAGATTTACTGTAGTGCTAGCTTTATAGCACTAGCTAATGTCAATAATTGAACCAAACTGGTACAATGAATTGGCAAATCTCATCCTAATTTTGTATCTACACAGTATATGAGACTATGTCATTTTTAAAATGACATAGTCTAAGTCATTTTAAAAAAATTCTAAGTCATTTTTAAAAAATATGTTTTTATTGATTTCAGAGAGGAAGGGAGAGATAGAATCATCAATGATGAGAATCATCACTCGGCTGCCTCCTGCACACCCCCTACTGAGGATGGAGCCCTCAACCTGAGCACGTGCCCTGACCAGGAATCTAACAGGAACCTGGTTTATGGGTTGATGCTCAACCACAGAGCCACATTGGCCGGGCATGTCATTTTTGAAGATGAGTAACAGTTTGTTGACAATAAACAGGAAATTATAAAAATTTCAAATCAAGAAAGCATCATATTTTAGATTCTCTAAGGCTGGCAAACTTTTTCTGTAAAGGGCCAAATAGTATATATTTTAGATTTTGTGATCAGTCTGTTTCAACTACTCAACTCTTTCATTGAAGCATAAAAGGAGCCACAGACAATATGAAAATGAATAGGCATAGCTGTGTTCCAATAAAACTTTCTTTGCAAAAACATGAAGTGGTTTGCTGGTCCCTTTGCCTAATTCCTAGGTTTGAATTCAGGTTTTTCTAAAAGTGCAGAAGTCTGTAATGTCTGTCTCTTCTCTTTTTTTCACACATTATAGGGACAAAGGGACACTGTCCTCGACTGTACACTCCCAAGATCTCCTGGATAAACAAGGCCAGCTCCTTGGTGGCATTTACAGTGTCTTAAAAGCAGGTGACAGATTTGTCCATTCAGTATATTTCTTCTACCAGTCTGCAGAGGTTCCTGACATTCCTTTTATAAAAATTCCTCATTTAAGGGGCCTTCTCAGAGAGACCCAAGTTAAAATAGAACTGTATTACTTAGAATTTCTTCACCACTGTTAGCGTATCAGGGCTTTGGCTCTCACTATAATATGCTTTGATGATGTTGAGGCCTTTGGAGATGTTGCAGGGAATAGGATGATCATACAAGGAGAGACAGACAGAAAGTTTCTGAACTCATTCATTCATTCAATTACCTATCTGTCGCGTACTTATTGAGTGCCTATTAAAGGACAGACATTGTGCTAGGAGCTAGAGATGAATGACAGACTCTCTCCCTCCAAAGACTTCAAATCTATCACAGAGACAGATATGAAAACAAATTATTACAAGCACTGTGATACACGAAGTGATAAAAGTATGTAAAATGTATGGAATCAGCACAGAAAGGTGAAGAAGGGTCCAGGAAAGGATTCACAAAGCAGATGATATTTGAACAGGATATGTGAAGGAATGGCATTTCGGGATTAGCATGTTGGAAGAATTGAAAATGGAGGCACAGTGTTGAAGGAAGGATCAGAGGGAGGAAAGAATTGGAGGGATCTGATGTATAGGAAGAGGCCAGACCCCTCTGCACTTTGAATTCCATCTACTGAAAGATGTTTGGACATAATTCTGCAGGTGATCAGGAATCACCGAGTTAAGTAGAGCATAACATGATCTGATTTGCAGTTTTTGAAGAAGACTCTGGAATCCAGATAGAGAAGATGTCTGACCTGGAAGGCTGGCTGATGGTGGGATTGTTAAGGATAATTGAGATACAGGCCATAGGAGGCTGTGGGTAGAGCAAGGCTTTCAGTTCTGGATATTTTGACATGAAGGTGCTAGAGACAATAAAATGGCTTCCTGCCAGAGGTGCTTAGTACATTGTTGGAAATATAGATCTGGGGTTCGTGAGAGAAATTTCATCTGGAGTCTGGAGATGGAGATTTGGATGCTCTCGCATAGGAAAAAATGAGAGAGCCCTCATGTGTGAAATAAATAATAAATCCAAGAAGGCACCCCGGAGAAGCCACATTTTGAAAGGACACATGGGGGAAAGTATTGGGACTCGGAAAATGAGAGCAGGTACAGGGCCAAGGACAGATTTCCTGCATGTCATAATTTTGCTATAGTTTACAGTTGTAGAACAATTCTCTCATCCCTTAATTATTTTTCTGTAAAATCTGTGCGCTTTTGGGCTTCCATTTTGACACTTTTCTGGGGGTAGTCTGATGTGCCTCTCAGTTTGTAGTGTGCACATGAATCAACTGGATTCTTATGGAAATTTATATTCTGATTCAGGAGGTCTGGAGTAGGGTCTGAAACTCTGCACTTCTAACTCTCTCTCAAGTGATGCTGATGCTGCTAGTCCACAGACCACACTCTGAGAAACCAGGGACATGTTATTGGAAGCTTGACGCCCTCCAAAGTCAGATTGAGGAAGCTTATCTCCTCAAATCCTCAAGCAGAAAAAGAAAACTGAGCCGAAACCGGTTTGGCTCAGTGGATAGAGCGTCGGCCTGCGGACTGAAAGGTCCCAGGTTCAATTCCGGTCAAGGGCATGTACCTTGGTTGCGGGCACATCCCCAGTGGGAGATGTGCAGGAGGCAGCTGATCGACGTTTCTCTCCCATCGATGTTTCTAACTCTCTATCTCTCTCCCTTCCTCTCTGTAAAAAATCAATAAAATATATTAAAAATAAAAAAGAAAACTGAAACCAGAAAGCAAGTTTTGTTTCTTTTTTCTTTTTCTCATGTTCTTTTTTTCTTTCTATTACATTACTATATTTATTTATTTATTTATTTATTTATTTATTTATTTATTATGTATTTATTTATTTATTTTTAAATATATTTTATTGATTTTTTTACAGAGAGGAAGGGAGAGGGATAGAGAGTTAGAAATATCGATGAGAGAGAAAAATCGATCAGCTGCCTCCTGCACACTCCCTACTGGGGATGTGCCCGCAACCCAGGTACATGCCCTTGACCGGAATCGAACCTGGGACCCTTCAGTCCACAGGCCGACGCTCTATCCACTGAGCCAAATCGGCTAGGGCAATTTATTTATTTTTAAAATAGAGGTATAATAAGCATAATATTAGTTTCAGGTATCCAACATAATGATTCAATATATGTAAAATGATCACCACCATAAGTCTACTTAACATGCATTACATAGCTACAGCTTTTTTTCTTGTGATGAGAAGTTGTAAGATTTACTCTCTTAGCAACTTTTAAATGTGCAATATAGTAATATTAACTATCATTGCCAAGCTGTACATTACATTCTCCAGAAAACATGTTTTCCATTAATCAACTATAAGGGTTATAAATAAGAAAAATGCTTGCTAGTTGTCAATAATCCCATAAATCCTCTTTCAAACTACAGTTTTCATCTCTTCTATAATTGAACCTTTGAACTCCCCTGTAATAAAAATGGTGTGCATTTAATCTCTCATTTTGTAGACTCTTGGTATAGTGGAGAGAGCACAAAATGTGGGATCAGGAGTTAGTGTTCAAATTCCAGCTCCACTGCCAACAATCGTGTCCCATTTGAGAAACCACAGGGCAGAGTGAGGGGCAACTGGCATTGTGCAAGGCAGAAGGGGTGGTTGGAAACCAGAGAGCCTGAGTGTGAATCCAACTATGTGGCCTCAGGCAAGCCAATGAACCTTTGCATCTCTGTTTCCCCAT